ATACTCCACTCTAGAGACCCCAATGAATGTCTTAAATTAGAAGGCTGAGTGTAAGACAAGTCTACACATATTTGAACAAACTCTACAAATGTAAGAACAAAAAATTAAGAGATAGAAAATTTGAGGGAAAAGATAAGGTATTTGGAGGATAGATCCAAGAGACCTAACTGGTCTTAAGTATTGTGGAAGGAAAAAATGGAAGAGTTGGAGGAGAGGCAAGAATCAATTTGCCACAAATAGAGAAAGAAATAACCTCAGATTTAAACACATGCCAAGTGCAGGCAGAACTGATGAGGAAAGACAAACACCTGGACACACCTTGATGCAATTTCTGATCTCTGATCTCTGAAGCAACATTAGAACTGTTGTTTCGTTTTCTATTTGTGTGGCAAAAGCGAAATATCTTTGTTGTTGATCTTTCCTATTGTAAAAACACTGCATCTCGAATGTTAAAAAATCAGACAATATAGATAAGTATTTATCTATATTATTACTTGCTAGTCCATCACTCAGACATAACCACCATTAACACATTCAATAGCTTGACTGAGGTATAACTGACATTAAAACACTTACATACTTAGTTTATAATTTGATAAGTTTTGATATATGTTTGATCCATGAAACCATCACCACAGTCAAGATAATAAACTAATTTGTCAACTGCACAGTTTGTTCCTGCCTCTTTGTAATCCGTCCCTCCTGCCCCTAGTTGCCGCCTATCTGCCCCATCCCCAGACAACCATCGCTCTCTTTTCTATCACTATAATTAGTCTGCATTTTCTAGAATTTTATGTAGGTGGAATCACATAGTATGTATTCTTTTTTGGTCTGGCTTTTTCTCTTAGCATAATTGGTTTGAGATGCATCCAGGTTGGTGTCTGTATCAGTAGTTCTTTTATTTGGTTTTATTTTTCTGTGTGTGCTATTCCAGGTCTAATTATTCTGCGTTCCTAAGACTAGACTCTTTTTAGCATATGCTAAAGCCCAATGCTTTTTAGTATACTACCCAATACCCTGTGAATTATGAGGTTTTTCCAGTCTAGTTGGTGGGAATAGGCATTATTTCTGCCTCTGTGTGAGATCCAAGTACTGGTTCCACTAATCTTTGGTACTTCCCAGGGCCCTGAGTAGTTTCGTTACAGCGAAGCTGATCAGTGCTCTGTTGAAAACTTGAAGGGGCTGCTCTGCAGGTGTCCAGAGCTCTCTCTGTGTACAGTTCTCTCATCTCTTGTCCCTTCCCTTCTAGCTGCTTTGGTCTCCAGGGGTTCTCTGCTCTATCTCCTCCAATCCTCTAATCAACGAGTCTCCCTGGCTCTGTCTGGGTCCCTCCTCCCTGTACCACAGCCTGGACAAGGTACATGGTCTTACAGACAGGAAGATGGGGAAATCGTAGGGTGCACTTCATTTATTTCCCACCTCTCTGGGATCACTGTGCTTCACTGTCTCATGTCAATGTCTTGAAAACTGTTTCATGTATGTATCCTATTTTTCAGTTGTTTCAGGCAGGAGGGTAAATCCAATCCCTTTTACTCTGTCTTTCCTGGAATGACTGTTAACATTTGAGTACATGTCTTCCCAGAATTTTTATCATGAGTTAGTGTACATTTTTTTGCTTTTGTCTATATAGCACCTTTCTTTCCCTTTTCAAGTAACATGACCCTTCTCCCTCTTCTCATGGAGAACCACTTCTTCCACATTCCAAGGTTCTCAAATGGACCAGACAATCAGAGTAACTCCTCACCTTATAGCCACTGAGAGCATGTGACTGAGGTTGGCTCAATCATATACAAAGTCCTCTAGTTACTGTGATTAATAGGGGCAACTGATGGAGCTGGGAGAAGTGAAATTCTTTCTTGTGATTTTTTTCCAGGTGGATGTAAAGACAGAGTGTTGTCTTTCTTCCTAGATCAAAATTTCTAAGGATGTTCTCCCAGAATTCCTGGCAGCCATGTCTGCCTTATTTGGAAAAAGCATCTTCGCACATGTAATTAAGGATCTCAAGATGACATATCATTGTTCATTATCCAGGTGGTCCCTAAATCCAGTGACAAGTGTCCTTATAAGAGAAGACACAGAAGAGAGGCCAAGTGAAGACTGAGGCAGAGGCTGAAGCCAACACAGAGGCAGCCACAAGCCAAGGATTATCTGGAGCCACCAGAAGCTGGAACAGGCAAGGAAGGGTTCTCCCGGGAGCCTTCGGAGGGAGCATGGTCCTACCTACCAACACCTTGATTTCAGAGTTCTGGTCTCAAGAACCGTGAGAGGATAAATTTCTGTTGTTTTAAGGCTTCGAGTTTGTGGTGCTTTGTTTTTTTTTTTTTTGGCCGTGCCACGCAGCATGTGGGGTCTTAGTTCCCCAACCAGGAATAATCGAACCCATGCCCCCGGTAGGGGAAGCGTGGGGTCTTAACCACTGGACCGCCAGGGAAGTCTCTGTGGTACTTTGTTATGGAAGCCTTTGGAAACTAATCCTGCAGGTAAAACTGATCTGTGTTATGGTAAATTAGGAAGAGTGGAAGTGAGGAAAAGACACTATATTATCAATGAAGACCATACTTAAAAATTTAAGTTTTGAATATTACAGACAGCTTGAGAACTGTCTGCAGATACAAGAAAGACACCGTGTTCTTGCAGACCAGAGCAGGGCACAGAAGAAGAATGGCAGAAGGATGACTGAGAGGAGGGAATCTGAATATTAGTGGTACAAAACCCGCATCCTTTAGCCACCCTGACTGAAGGTCTCAGCAGTTCTTTAGGATAAAGTACCGAAAGCTGTTAGCAGAATCATATTGTGTAACACTTGTTGTTTGACACATACATATTTGGGTTTAAGTTAAGCAACAGAAAGTTAATTACAACTGAATGTTTATCTACCTGTTTTATTGATAAAGACCGGAATTAAAAGAATCACCTCCTATTTTATTATTGATAGATGGCCGAACTGGGAGGCTATCAGTTGAGAACAGTGACCAAAATTGTGGTGCCAAGGGAGAAGATTGGGGCCTAAAATGAGCTGTTCCCATTTGAGCAAACCACTCATTGTTATCATGCCCGTAGCCCCTCAAAGATGCCATTGCTGTGCTTTGTATAAAACACCCACGTCTGTTAAATCTTTTTTGTTATTAATTTATATTGGAGTATGATTGCTTTACAATGTTGTGTTAGCCTCCACTGCACAACAAAATGAATCAGCCGTACACATACAGATATCCCCTCCCTTCTAGGTTACCACAGTGTGTTAGGTAGAGTTCCCTGTGCTATACAGTATGTTCCCATCAGTTGTCTATTTTATACATAGTATCAATAATGTATGTGTGTCAATCCCAGCCTCCCAATTCCTCCCACCCCACCCCTTTCCCCCTTGGTATCCATACATTTGTTCTCTAAGTCTGTGTCTCCATTTGTGCTTTGCAAATAAGATCATCTGTACCACTTTTCTAGATTCCACATATATGTGTTATTATATGATATTTGCTTTTCTCTTTCTGACTTAACTTCACTCTATGACAGTCTTTAGGTCCATCCACATCTCTACAAATGACCCAATTTCATTCCTTTTTATGGCTGAGTGATAGTCCATTGTACATATGTACCATATCTTCTTTATCCATTCCCCTGTCAATGGACATCCACTTTTGTTAAGTTTATAAAATATTTCTGTCTCTAATACCTATAGACGTTTCCAGGGGAAAAAATTTAAAGAATTCTTTTTTCATGGGTGTAATATACTAAGCAGCCCCGGCATTTCAGAGGTCAAATGAAGCTGGGTGGAGGCAAAATGTGTTGAAAATGTTTATAAAATTGAAGATCCCTGCTTGTTTTCTTGGAGTCTAAAAGTGCCCGTTACCACTCTGGATATGTGCGCTTTCGGTGACGGGACCACGGTGAGGGGCAGGAACAAAGACTCCTACCTCTTCCTTCTCCTCCTCTTCTAGCTCCTCATCGCCTTCGGCCTCAGCCTGATGGTCTTCTGTTTCTTCATCATAATCATCCACAGTTAACTCCCAGCCAGCATAGTGGAAAGGTTCTGTAGAAAAAAGAAGAAATAGTTGGGAAGGTATTTTTAGGATAAAAGCATATTACAGTAGCCAAAGATTAGGAAAATTAATTATAGGGACTGGTCTCTTAGCTTAAATGTGTATGCAAACAGGCCTTCACAAATTCTTTAAGTGACAACTGGCCAGTTTGGCCAGTGCTGTTTGTACCTCATGGCTGTTCTGATTGGTGGGTGCCTGCACTATGACACTTGTTAAATATTTTAAATATCGTCCCTGGATATACTGACTGTTTTGCTTCACAGACCACAGGCTTTAAACTTTCACAGTATTTTTAATAATATTACCTGCTCATGACAATAAATGATATGATTACAGACGGCCCTTACTTTCCATGGTCTCAACGACTTTTTGAAGTAGTTCCTCTGGAGTTTTGCCAGCAATCTCCAAGTTTAAAACTTGAGTAAAAGAGTCACTGATTGTTGTTTCCATCTGCCTCCAGGAGGAGTAGAAAGATTTGACACTCTCTTTAATTGGCTCCATTTCAGGAACATCAGGATAAGCGTCTTCTGGAAACTCAGGTAGTACAACTTCTGAGTACAAGTTAAAGGAAAGAAAAAAGAGCCTTCAGGCATTATATCTTTAGTCATATTGCCAAAATAACTTATACTTTATAATACTTTAAAAACATTTGGGGCTTCCCTGGTGGCGCAGAGGTTAAGAACCCGTCTGCCAATGCAGGGGACATGGGTTCGAGCCCTGGTCCGGGAAGATCCCACATGCTGTGGAGCAACTAAGCCCGTGCGCCACAACTACTGAGGCTGCGCTCTAGAGGCCACGAGCCACAACTACTGAGTCCTCGTGCCACGACTACTGAAACCCGCATGCCTACAGCCCGTGCTCCGCAATGAGAGAAGCCACCGCAGTGAGAAGCCTGCTCACCACAACAAAGAGTAGCCCCTGCTCACCGCAACTAGAGAAAGCCCACGCGCAGCAATGAAGACCCAACGCAGCCAAAAATAAAAATAAATTAAATAAAATAAATAAATTTATTTTAAAAAATTTGAAAGAAATAAACTTAGTGTTCTAAGCAATAATATACATTTATAACTTCATATTTCAATTATACTTTGTTCCTTGTATTGGCTGTAGATGAATTATTACTTATAAATAAAATCCAAATTATTTGGATAATTAATATCAATTTCATATGGCAGCTTTAACTGTTAATAAAATGTATAACATAAAATTTGATGAAAACTGTTACAAGTTGGCTAGGTACACTTTTAATATAATAAGTTAGATAAATAAATATAACACACATCAACTGGCATATGACTGACATAGAAAGAAACAAGTAGGAAGTTGGTACTATGCCTAAAATTGTAAGAGAATATGAAAAGCACTTTTATGCACTAACTACTTTTATTTGATAATCTAACCTGTTTCAGATAATTTAGTTTCTAGTCCCTCTTTGGATCCTTTTGGAATTTCTGTTCCAACTGTAGTGTCCTCAGTGGGCTCAGACACTTTAAAAAAAAAATCTAATAGTGTTTGAATTTTAAAACATTATTCCTTTATGAAGTTCTTGGCACAAAGAAAATTTCAAAACATAGTTTAAATTGTGTATACTATATCTAATTGATAATACGGTTCTTGTTAGATAAAGTATTGAAACTGAGTCCCCCTAAAACCGAGTTCCCCTGCCTAGTTTATGGTTAACCTCCCTATTCAAAACTTTATTCCTGGGCTTCCCTGGTGGCGCAGTGGTTGGGAGTCCGCCTGCCGAGGCAGGGGACGCGGGTTTGTGCCCCGGTCCGGGAGGATCCCGCATGCCGCGGAGCGGCTGGGCCCGTGGGCCATGGCCGCTGGGCCTGCGCTTCCGGAGCCTGTGCTCCGCGACGGGAGGGGCCGCGGCGATGAGAGGCCCGCGTACTGCAAAGAAAAAAAAAAAAAAACAACTTTATTCCTTTTCTTGTCCCCTCTGATCTCAATCCTGTGCTAACTGAACTCTAATCAGCCAGAGTCAGATAACATCATTAATGTACAAACTCAGGTTGTTTCTCCAGGGCAAGACCCCTGATCATGCACCCCCAGAGCAGAGACTCATAAACAGTAGGCATCCTGACCCTGAAACTACGATTAAGAAATGTCACAAGATGACAATTAACTACAGCTTCTTTGTTCTTCCCCTTTAAAAGCCCCCAACTCAAAGACCAAGTTGGAGCAGATCTGAGGTTCATCTCCCACTCCCTTGCTTGGCGCCCTGCAATAAGCCCTTACTTTGCTGCAAACACCCGCTGTCCGAGTTTGGCTTCCTGTGCAGCGGGCACACGAGCACACTGCTTGGTTTCAGCAAGGCATAAAAATACATAATAGTATAAGGCAGAAAATGAAGAATATTCTTAAATACACAAAAGGACGTTGACCAGAATAACAATTGGTACATACAATTTTGACTGATGACTGTTGTTAAATATCATTCAAACTTCTGTTAACATGGCATCAAACTAGCAGTGCCTGATAGTTCTTTTAAGTTCTTGAGATACCCGTAAAGATATACTAAAGAATCATAAAGTGGCAATAAAGGGCGATGATATGCCAAAGTCTCAGCTGTGGGTGTCGGTGTGGTGAAACTGAGGAGCGTCTCAACTAATACCACTGTTGGAGATATAGATCAACAACTGCTTTCCTGGATGATATAAGACATGATCCACATACAGATCTAGCATAGATAGTTTCAGGGAAGGAAGGACTAATAATCTTTCTTCTCAGCCCATAGTCTCTCCTAGTTCTGAGACACAAGCTTTGTGTAGACCACACACACACACACACAAATGTTTTAAATATATATGTAGCCATTCTGTAATACTGTGGAAGCTGTCTTTTAAGTTAGCTAAAGTAATAGTTGGGTCCTCTTTCTACAGAATCTGTAACGTTTAATACTCAGGAGAACAGGGAGTAGAAGGGGACAAGCCGAGGGCTGGCCTGGTGGCAGCATGTTTAATTGTAAGGTGTTCAATTACCTAAAGAAAAGCATAACCCCGACAAAGAGAAGAAGAACACCAAGAATATACAGAAAATTCTAAACTGTCTTAGCTTCTCTGGCTTAATCAGAGAATGCAATAGTTGGGGATGAAGAAGATCCAGCTTCAGTCTAGAAAAGCCATAGAAGATGATACTAAATATCATAAGTTGAATCAGGTTTATGCACATTGAGCTGACCTTCAGGTCTATGGCTGAGAGTGCCTGGCAGGAAGTTTAAGTGAAAGGAGTATATGCGTGTTGTGTGTTTGTTGCGGGGGGGGGGGCGGCGGTGGTTCTTATAAATACTCTACCTACCCTTCCTGTTGGTTACCCTACTCTACCTGCTCCATTCAGGGAGAAGTCAACAACAACAACAAAACAAAACAGCAACAACAAAGCCTATGAAAATATGCTATAATGAAGGAAAGAGAGTATTGATTCACAGATTCAGATGAAGAGCTTGCTTCTGAAGAAGATTTCTCATATAAAGCAAAATAAACTAAACTTTAGAAGATATGTACTTCGTACACTCAAAAAGCACAGGAGGACAACAGAGTCTGTGAAATAGGAGCCATGAGGCAAAAGGAGAGACCAACCTAAGATAAAGGCAGAAATACAAGAAAGCTAGTTGAAATAAGAACACAATGCAAGAAAATCTAAAATGCAATAGCAGAATTGAAATACGCATCAGGAGAGAGGCAATAAGGAGCAGAAAATAAGTCAGTGATGTGGAGGATAACAACTCTCCAAAAAATACAGAGAAAAAGGACAATGAGATGAAAACTATCAAGAAGAAGATTAATGTGGTTGAAAAGCAATAACTATCTAACTAAAAAAATAATAAAACGTAATCCTGAAAAAGGAATCTGAAACAATAACTGAAGAAAAACATTTTGAGCCAAAGACTGTGGTATGGAGACAGGAGAACAGAAGATGTTTGATGACATCTGTACACTATCAAACCAACCCTGGGGACTTCTCTGGTGGCGCAGTGTTTAAGAATCCACCTGCCAATGCAGGGGACAAGGGTTGGAGCCCTGGTCCGGGAAGATCCCACATGCCGTGGAGCAACTAAGCCCGTGCGCCACAACTACTGAGCCTGTGCTCTAGGGCCCGCAAGTTACAGCTACTGAGCCCACGTGCCACAACTACTGGAGCCCATGTGCCTAGAACCTGTGCTCCGCAACAAGAGAAGCCACAGCAATGAGAAGCCCACGCACTGCAAACAAGAGTAGCCACCGCTCGCTGCAACTAGAGAAAGCCCGTGTGCAGCAACACACAACGCAGCCAAAAAAACAAAAACAAAAAAACAAAAAATACCCTGGACTCAGGGATGATACATGTCCCTTATTTAATACAGTGTTTTGGCATTTCTGTTACTTGTAGACAAATGCAGTCGCAATGGATGCAGATGGAATAGTCTTCCTCTTAAGCAAGGTCAGCAGCTATGCTTCTTAATTTAAAAAGTCAACCCTACCACTTAGTTACTTGATAGTTGAATCACATGATCAACCCTTAATCAACAACACTGAACATCTGTGTTCCAGAATTTAAACTTTGAATTGTTTGCTACTTAAATCTGGTCAGGTTTCTGGATAATGGGGTGGCAGGAAGCGACTTGCAAAATGTTCAGTGGTTGCTCACTCCAGGCTGCCCAGCCTGGTCCTGACAACTCAACATGGTGAGGTCAGGCTTTATTTGAGAGAGATGCATTTGACTGGAGAAAACTTGATCAGACCATGGCATTGGGTTTTAGATGGCCATTAAGGAACCACTGGTCTTAGGGACACACTATCTGTGCAGTTGTCATTATGAGTGCTGCTCTTTATATACCCTAGGTGTCTGCTGTCCCCTGTTCCTTTTCCTTGAATTACACTCCTTGTGATGGATTCAATTGTGCCCGCCCCCCAAAGATATGTTCACATCCTGAACCCTGGTACCTGTGAATGTGACATGAATTGGATACAGGGTCTTTGCAGAAGTAATTAGTTAAGGATCTTGAGATGAAATCATCCCAGATTTACGGTGGGCCCTAAATCCAATGACTGGTGTCCTTGTAAGAGGAGAAGACACACAGAAACAGATACACACACACACACACACACACACACACACACACACACACACACACACACAGAGAGAGAGAAAAAAGGCCATGTGACGATGAAGGCAGACACTGGAGTGATACAGCTACAAACCAAGGAACACCAAGGACTGCTGGAGTAACCAGAAGCTAGGAAGAAGCAAGGAAGGCTTCTTTCCTGGACATTTCAGAGGGAGCATGGCTCTGCCAACACCTTGATTTTAGACTTCTAGCCTCCAGAACTGTGAGAGAGGAAATTTCTGTTGTTTTAAGCCACCAAGTTTATGGTAGCTTGTTAAAGCTATCCTAGGAAACTGATATATTTCCCAATAGTCTACTTGAAAACAAGCATTGGAGAGCAATGTGGAACTTGGTGAAGATTTAGCAAGGGAGAGATGGAGAGACTTTATTCCACACACCCTGTGACAGACACTGGTGGTAATTCACCCAGCCTATGTGTTCCTCTTCTTCCTTCCTGGCAGACCTGTGCTTTTGTTCCAGTGTTTACCCTTCCCCACATGGCTGAGGGAGTGGGACCCTCTCTCCATCTCCAGGAATTTATCCTGATTGGTTTAAGCCCCAAATGCTGGTTCCTTTCCTTCTGATATTCGGGGAGGGAATGTAACTATTGATTTTGAGAGTGCTAAGATTCAGTTTCACTTAATTTGAATTAGGAATCCTTAGCTCTGGTCTTTTCAGAACATAAGGCAGACGAGGAGAAAATCTCTAAGTTCTAGTCTGGTAAAGATGATGTTAAAGCATCAGCTATGAGGCCGACTCTCTGCTGGGTGCTTTAAAGAAATGTTCTTATCCATATAAAAACTCTGCTAGGTAAATCTTCCCAGCCCTGTTTTACAAATGAAGAACTTCAGGTGCAGGATAACTCTATAACTTGTCATATAGCAGCCAATGTGAAATTTTTAAAATGTTAATAAGATCAGATTGACCACTGCACTTGCAGAAAACTCCCATCTCCATAAGCCTCTGGCCTCTGCTTTGCTCTCCAATTTCATCTCCCACCTCGCTCTTGCTCACCATGCTCCAACCACATTCAATTTCTTCCTTGACCATATGAAGTTGTGCCCACCTCTGAGCCTTGGCAGTGGAGGGATCTTTGCCCAGATCCTTTCAGTGCTTTTGTCTTGCCTCAAATATCATCTCAGATGACACTCTTCCTGGACCATAATGTTTAGTGTTGCCTCTTCCAAACTACCCCCGTGGTCTCTACCTTGCTCATTCATTGAACAAACACTTACTGAGTTCCTACTGTATCCCAGGTACTGGTTTAGGGTCTTCATAGATTTTTCTTCATGGCACTTAACACAATCAGAAATTATCCTAGTTATTTACTTGTTTATTCTTGTTCTTCACCCCATAGAATGATGGCTCCTTGAGGGTAGGGATCTTGACTGTCTTGGTCACTGCTGAGTCTGTACTACCTAGGGCAGTGTCCGTTGCTTTGCATGGCACTTAGAAGGACTTCAGTAAATACTTGTTGAAGGAATGGATGAATTTCCCGATGTTTATTACCAGCTGACTCTATTACATGTCCATGAAGTGCTTGGAATGAAGCACTGTGATTTGAACCAATGGTTACTCTAAGCTCATGTTCTTGCATGTAATTGGCCTATACCTAACCAGTACATAAAGAAAGCAAATTGGGAATAAGAAAAGTGATTAACCAGCCTCGGAATGCATAGGTTATTGCCCTTTAAAGTGTTAATTCTAAGCAATACATGTGTCATTCCATTCTAAGGCTAGAGTGACGACAGGATTGAAATGAGACTTCAGTCATCTTATTTGACAGAGATAATGATTATCCTGTGGCCCAAGACAGAAGCCAAACTTCAAAGGAAAAGATGTGTTCCTAAGCACGAGATATAAAAAGCCTGCTTTGGGGCTTCCCTGGTGGCACAGTGGTTGAGAGTCCGCCTGCCGATGCAGGGGACACGGGTTCGTGCCCCGGTCCGGGAAGGTCCCACATGCCGCGGAGCGGCTGGGCCCGTGAGCCACGGCCACTGAGCCTGCACGTCCGGAGCCTGTGCTCCGCAACCTGAGAGGCCACAACAGTGAGAGGCCCGCGTACCGCAAAAAAAAAAAAAAGCCTGCTTTGTGTATGTGTTAGTTTCCTGTAGCTGCCAAAACAAATTGTCACAGACTTGGTGGCTTAAAACAACAGAAATGTATTCGCTCACAGTTCTGGAGGCCAGAAGTCAGAAATCAAGGTGTCGGCAAGGCTCTGCTACCTCCGGAGGCTCTGGAGGAGAGTACTTTCTGCCTCTTTGACCTTCTCCTGGGTACTGTCATGTCTTGGCTAGAGTCTGCATCACCCAATGCTGCTTCCATCTTCAAACTGCCTTCCTCTGTGTGAGACTCTAATCTCCCTCTGGCTCTCTCTTATAAGGACATTTATGATGGCATTTAGAGCCCACCTGGATAATCCCACATAATCTCCCCATACCAAGATTCTTAGGAACTTCCCTGGTGGTCCAGTGGTTAAGAATCCGCCTTCCAATACAGGGGACACGGGTTCGATCTCTGGTTGGGGAACTAAGATCCCACATGCTGCAGGGCAACTGAGCCCGTGCACTCTAGAGCCCATGCGCCACAATTAGCGAGAAGCCCGTGCGCCACAACAAAGAGCCTGTGCACCGCAACAAAGATCCCACGTGCCACAACTAAGACCCTATGCAGCCAAACAAACAAACAAATAAATAAATACTAAAAGAAAAAAAAGAAAGATCCCTTAGGGCTTTCAAAGCCTCATTAAAACAAAACAAAACAAAAAATTCTTAATTTAGGGACTTCCCTGGTGGTCCAGTGGTTAAGACTCTGCACTCCCAGTGCAGGGGGCCCAGGTTCGATCCCTGGTCAGGGAACTAGATCCCACGTGCCGCAACTAAGAGCCTGGATGCCGCAACTAAAGGATCCCACATGCTGCAACTAAAAAGCCTGCATGTTACAATGAAGATCCCACATGCTGCAACTAAGACCCTGTACAGCTAAATAAATAAATAAATATTTTAAAAAAGGATTCTTAATTTAGTTACATCTGCAAAGACCTTTTTTGCAAATAAGGTAACACCTACAGGTTCCAGGAATTAGGATGTGGACACACCTTTGGCAGCCATCATCAGCCTACCACAGGGAACTCTGGATAAAGTAAAAAAAAATTCCAAAAGTAATGGATTTATGTTAGACAGGGTAGTATTTTTTCCTTTCTCTTTTTAATTTTGGTAAAATACACATAACATAAAATTTACCATCTTAACCATCTTTAAGTGTACAGTTCAGTGGTGTTAAATACATTCACATTGTGTGCAACCAACACCACCATCCATCCTCATAACTGTTTTCATCTTGTAAAACCAAAATCTCTATACTCATTAAACAATAAGTCCCCATTCTCTCCTCCTCCCAGCCCCTGGCAACCACCATTGTACTGTCTGTCTTTATGATTTTGACTACTTTTAAGTATCTCATATAAGTAGAATTATATAGTATTTGTCTTTGATGGCTAGACAGGGCAGTTTTAAGTGAAAAAAAAATTGCCTACTTAAGCAATTTATAGGAGAAGACTCTGTGAAAAAGGACCCTTGGATGGAAGAAGTAATCACTAGTTAAACCAGATGCAAGCCCTTCTGTGAAACAGAATATGGTTTAACAGGGACAAAACAGACCCACGATTTCACAGACGCTAATTGCTTCTGGAGAAGCCCAGTCATGTCTACAGAGCTGGCTAGAACTGACCCTGAATGGAGTAGGCTACTGGCTTTAGAACACCCAATTTAGGTTGCCTGGGGGAAATAATGAGATAAAAGGCAATGACATTAAATTGTCCCCTAGATCTGTTACGTTATTAAATACCAACTGTGAAACACTGGGGATATTGGAAATCTGGAAACATTTAATGGACATTTGTGTCATATTTAATGGATGTCAGTTTCTTTTATTTCTTTTGATATTTTATGGCCTGTTTCCTTGCAAAAGGTAGGTGGGTAGGAAGATTGTTGTCAGCCTAACTGGTTAAGTACTCAAGAAAATAATGAAGTTTCTGGGTGAGAGTTCAAGTCAATAAAGGTGTGGGATTCTTAAAAAAGAAATTGGGTATTTCATCCTGTTAGCTCTTCTGTCTGGCACAAGGTTCTGATTTTATACTTACTGTCCCATAAACCTAATGCCAATTCCTGTAGTAAAAACAATCTATGTTAAATTTGAGCTTTCTCATTGTAAAAATTCCCCTTAGTCCTGGTTCTTTTACCAGCTAACAGCAGGTTTTCATCCCTTAATTGCTCCAGGGCTGGCGTCTAGCTGCAGGTATCTGAAAACCTTTAGTTTGTAAGAGTAATTTCTAATTCAATATTAATTGTGCTCGGAAGCATTTTATGAGCCCCGCTTCCACCACAGTGAGGTACCCTATCTTGCTGCTTAAGCCCACTCTCCAGCCCTGAGAGTGACTTTCGTTGGAAATCTGTAAGATTCCTTCTTGCCCTGCCCCAACCCACCAAACTGGACCTCTGAGGAGGGCTGACTTCATGGGTGTACGAGCTGTGCAGTTGCTCTAGATCTCTCACCCAGAATGGTCTCATACTTAGTTTAATGCACTTTGGTTGTCATTTTGAAATTTTTAATAATTTTATCTTTGAATTGAGTTTTGTAAGCAAAATCCAAAGGGACTCCAATGGGACAACAGGGCACGTGTGTGAGCAGAGATATGCACGATCTGCGTCTGCCATTCTTTGCCATCTCATTCTCATGAGTGTTCCTGATGCTCCATCATGAGCATAGAATTCTAGGGGACCCACGATATGTGGGAGTAAGTGTGACCTAGTGGCTTGGGGTGGGGAGGATGCTGACAGCCCTTGAGAGACCGTGGTCTCCCTTTGAACTAGACTTGCTCCAGATGCAGAATGAAGTTGATGGCATTCAAAGAGACATGAATGACCATGGAACCTCATCACATCCCTTCTTACTCATGTTACTTTCCTGTACTAGCTAAACTGAAATGATGTGGGGCTCATAAAATGCTTCCGAGCACAGTCAGTATTGAATTAGAAACTAATCTTACAAGCTAAAGGTTTTCAGATACCTGCAGCTAGATCATTTCGGCTAGACTGAAAATGACGACACAGAAAGAAAGGAAAAGATAGGGCAACCCAGAGCTCCTTTTCCTTTCAGTCTTCCCTTTCCTTAATCATTGGGAAGCTAAAAGTAGAGGGCATTGCTAGAATATATGCATATTAGGAAATGAAATAAGAAGCTGAGTTAGTTTTGTGTATGAAACTGACTTAGTATTCTGGTAAGAATAAAATACATATGCATGTACAAGCTGCAAAATACAAATTGTGTAGTTTCAATGATTCTGCATGTGAGTTAAGTGCTCTTAACGTTTGCATTTAAAAGTGGCATTGGGCAACATAAAGAAAAACGGTAAAATTCATGCTAATAACTTAAAATTTTAATTTTTCTTTACTTAGAATGACATTAAATAACAAACAAAAAGTACTATGACAAGTTAAAAGAGAGACCATGGAAGAAAAGAAAGAGCTTTATATTTTCGTACTTTTAATGGCTCTTTTCCCCTACTTTTTGAACACTGTGCCCCACAAATTATATAGCAGGCCCTGCTTCTGAGTGTCAAGCCCCCAGGCAGAGCAGACTCAGCTTTCCTACCACACTTCCAGCCATGTGATTTGGACTAACCGGCTGCACTCTTGGGGCACATCTCTCCATTCTCAGCCTGCTTCCATTTTATACCATATAAACACATATATACACACATACATGCCAATGGACAAGAGTGGAGTTAAGGATACGATCCTTAATAAAGTCTAACCTGATTCATGTTCTGTTTCAGGGACTTCGAAAACTTCAGCCTCCTCAGGTAAGGACGCCCTGGTCTCCTCGGCTACCTCAGGGGCCTCAGACCCTTCGTGAAGTTCAGACTCCTCACCTTCAATCTCCTCGTCAGCCTCAGCTTCAGTTTCTTCTGCTTCTATAAAAAATGAGAAGAAATAAATTATTTAGATTAAGTCAGCAAATATCTAATTGGGAATGACCCCTGGAGCATGAGGCTTAATGAGAAAGATAGATACAGTCTCTACATATTGTATCTATCAAAATGCAGTAGTAAAGGATGATAGTAATATGCTCAGAGTGCTATGGGAGCACCAGCCTAAGGAGTCATTCAAAATGGGGAAATGCATATAGCATTCCCAAATATTATAACAGTAAAAGACAGGAAACAGCCCAAATGTCCATTTAAAAGGGAATGGCTATACCTGCACTGTCTGATATGTAGTCACCAGCCACATGTGGCTATTGAGAACTTGAAATGTGGCTAGTCCAAACTGAGATGTGCCGTTAAGTATAAAATACACAATGGACTTCAGAGACTTTGTATGAAAAGTTGAATGTAAAAATATATCAATAATTTTTACATGTATTACATGTTAAAATAATAATTTGGATATAGTGTATTAAATAAAATATACAGTTGGCTCCCTGAATCTTCAGGTTCTGTATCTGTGGATTCAACCAACCACGAATTGAAAATATTTGAAAAAAATTTTCAGAAAGTTCTAAAAAGCAAAACTTGAATTTGCTGCATGCTGGCAACCATTTACATAGCATTTACATTTTATTAGTTATTATAAGTTATCTAGAGATGATTTAAAGTATACGGGATGATGCACTTAGGTTACATGCACATACTATGCCATTTTATATATGGGACTTGAGCATTCATGGACTTTGGTACCTGTGGAGGTCCTGGAACCAATTCCTCATGGATACTGAGGAATGACTGTAATTAATTTCACTTGTTTCTTTTTTCTTTTAATGTGACTACTAGAAAATTTAAAATTATGTACGTGGCTTGCATTTTATTTTTACTGGGCAGCACTAGGCTAGACTATATATTTTCTTACAGCTAGTTACAAATTATAATAGAGTATGTTGATCAGTATGCTAAAATTTAAAAAACATAACTCCAAGTTTTACATAGTTGCTGATGACAGCTATAAGAAATAAATGCATAGAAGTCTTTGAGGAAGAAGATGGGGTAAATGGTGGTGTTAGAAAACCCATCTCTTCAATTCCCTTTAACATATTTTTTAAATTGACTCTTCAATTCCCTTTAATATATTTTTTAAATTGACTGAAACAAGGTATTTTCTACATAAAGATATGAAAAACTAAATGAGCTTGTTTTCTGGACTCTTGCGGGAATTATTCCCTCCCCTGCCCCCTGCCCAGTGAGTACCTTCCAAGAATCACATTCTAGTGGTATGAGATACCTCTGGCACCTGGATTTTTAATCTAAATTGGGGTGATTAAGCACAAAGAGAAAAGCATCCTGAAGTGTCCTTATATCTTGAAGTCTGACCAGGATTGCCAAGCATGTGGCTTCCAAGTATGTGAGTTGGAAGGTGGTGAATCTTTTGTGTTATATGAAGGATTTATGGTGATACACACAAGGAGGAAGCATCATTTGCTGAATTCTACTAGGGTTAGAGATGAAGTTATATATACTCTACTCCAGAAACTCAAAATGTCTTTTAGCTGAGTATCTCTTATAGTAAAAGAAAAAACATCATATACCTCCAACACGCATATATTTGGTTATCTGTAAGTTGTGTTCTTATCCACATTAGGTACATTATAAAGTGTATATATAAAATGAATTTATATAATGATGCTGAAAAATGTAAAAAGTTTGAAAACTTTTCTAGAACCCTACTGGATAATCTGTGTTCCATGTGAGTCAGGAATGAACTGAAAAGTGTTCTAAGATCCTTGTACTATCTGTGATTTTTGATTAAGTGTATATTGTATTAGTTATCTATTGCTTCATGTATATGTTGTATTAGTTATCTATTGGTTCATAATAAATTACCCCCCAAATTAGTGGTTAAAATAACAATAATCACATATTGCCCTCACAATAACTGGGGTCAGGAATTTGGGAGTGGCTTAGTTGGTGGTTCTGGCTCTGGATTTCTCATGAAGTCACAGTGAATATGTCAATTAGAGTTGCAGAAGTCAATCTGAAGGCTTGACAGGGGCTGGTGGAGCCCCTTCCAAGGTGAACACTCAAATCCAGAACCAAGGTCCTCCGGGAGCGGAGAGAAGCACGGCCAGAAGTCCTGACCCACAGAATTGTGTGCAGAATAAAGATAGTGGTTGTTTTACAGTTTGTGGGTGGCTGGCTGCACAGCAATGGAACACTGAAACAGACTTTCTTCACTCTTTTGAGCTATGGATGGCTTTGGCAGTCTGGTGAAACTTATGGATCCCTTCTTAGAATAATGCTTTCAATCTCATAAAATAAAATAAGAAGCCAATTATACTGAATACAGTTATCAAGATATCAAAAACATTTTTGTGGTATAGGAAATGTGTGCATCTTTGCTAATGCATTAAGTAACAAGAACTAGCAACTGGTTGAATAACTACCATAATTTTGGAATAGTGACACGCATAAACAAGACATCTAAAACTGGAATGGGATATGAAAATATCTTTGTTTCTACTGGTGACAAAGTCAAGGTGCTGCTAATACTATTGTGGTTTGTAGCCTATATTAATTATTAGGTGAGTAAAATACTAAATTTCAGTTAAGGGTTAGTAAAAAATAAAGTTATAATTATTTCCCCATTCAAATTCACAGACCTCTGAATTTTATCCCCAGGTTTAAAACTCCAGTCTTAAAAGAAATTTTTAGAGTAAGTTCTTCTATAATGGAGATGGAAGTTTAAGTATAAAGACAATGGGTATAGTAAGAGTTTAGCTGTTTTCTCAACTCCTACAGGATCCTTTTAGTAGAAGTAATTCCAACAAGCCATGTCACCTGTGACAAGCGCAACCCTTTGAAGACATGGTGCACATGCTGTCCTACTGTGTACCCCTCTTACAGGGTGGATGAGTAGGTATCTGTGTCAGGATTCCTTTTCCTATGAATCCAGTACTGCTGTGACCATATAATTTATTATCCAAATTGGAACACTATGAGAATGAGAGGGGGGGGTCAAACCAATACTTCATGAACCTGGGCATGAACCTAGACTCTCATGGGCAAATTGGGAAATATGGTCACCCTGTCTATGATTCACTGGAAATACTGCAGCTGTTGGCAGTCACAATACAAAATCAAATGGCATATTATTAATCATATAATCTTATGTTTGCCTTTTGCTTTCGCATTCATAGCTTCCAATAGCTTTTGATTTTCTTCTTCTATTCTTAATGTCTCTTCTTTGGCTTTTCTGAAATGAAAAGGTCCAAAATTTAGTTATCTTTGGAAATTCAGATATCTCACAATATTATAGAATTTAAGGCTTATAATGGTAAAATTAAAGGGTAGGTCATTTATAATATTCATTATACTTTTTACTTTATAATGTAAATGTTTAATTTACTCATACTGAGGCTAGTTAGTTTTCAGAAATTTTGGGGTTTTTTTTTTGGTAAGAAAAGTTGAAATATTGTATTTTAAAAACTTTGGCTATTAATTAGGAAACCTGGAAAAACTAAAAAAGGATTGTCTAACTCCAAGCTGGGATAATTTGTATCATTTTCCCTCTGATTAAATGAGAAGTGTTCACGACATAGAGTTAAATGAAAAAAAGGTATAATATAAAACTATGTATAATACAAATTTACTTTTGTATTTAAAATGTATATAAATGATGATTAAAAGACAAGAATAAAATGAATCAAACTGTTAATAGTAATTATCTCTGGATGGTGGCATTCTGAGAGTTCTAAATTTTATTTCACATTTTTTGCACTGTAAAAAATTTTCCATATGAATAAGTAGAAAATTTGTAAATTTACCTTTGTAACCAGAAAAATTATTTTCTGATTTATTTTCTTTTTAATATAGTAAAGATGAAATTTAAAGAGACTTGGGATAGGGAAACAAATATCTGGAGGGAATCTGTCTTTCATTAGGGTTCAAGGACTAAACCTGCCTTAATGATGAAGACAGGTATAAGGAAAGTTAGTAAAATGATGGAGAAAGACAATATTTATAAAAAATTAAAACATGCATACCCTTGACCTAGAAATTCTGTATCTAGGAATATAGCCCTCAAGTACTGGCATACTATTGCACAAAGAAGCATGTATAAGAATGTTGATTGCATCTTTAAAAATAATATCAAAAAAACTGTATCAAGTATGCACAAACAGGGGACCAGTTAAGTGGAGTAGAGCCCATTCATCTCAGCAGCCCACTCTGGGGTAGTCTTCTTCAGACCATTCTATAGGTTGGTCATTCTCTCATATTCAGTGCTTTTTTGTGTGTTCTTTTTCCCCTTTCTTTGAAAATCTTTAATATATTCTCTTCAAAGATATTACTACACCTCTCCTCCCAACAAGTGTGTTTCTTGTTAATAGGGGGTGTTCTCTCACTGTGTTCTAGATACAGTCTGTGATCCAGACTGAGGTCTTGGTGTAATTCAAGTTCTCTTTGTTCATGCCCCAGACTTCTGAGACTACTGAACATTGTTTCTGCATGTCTTCCCTACTTTGTTTTGTGTGAACTGGCAATCCTTCTACTTAGTCAGGTAGGGCTCTTTTGTGAGACTTTCCTCATCCAAAACCTGGGTACTGTATTATGCTGCTAAGAATCTAAGACCTGACAAGAAGGAGGAAGAATTTTGCTGCCAGTTTCTAGCTACTTCTATATACTACTTGGATAGACAGTCAAAGACAAACGGTGATAACAGAAATTATTCTGCATTTGACTCATACATTTGGAAACTGATGTTGGAAAATCTAGAATCAGCATGTCTGTAGATATATGGCCAAAGATGTAATTCTAAATCCTGTTAATCTTATCTCTTTTCCAACCAAGTTGCAAGGCCTTTAAATGCATCTCTGACCATTTTGTTTAAATTGTTTTAAATTTCATTTTCTGCAGTATGTGAGAAAAAAGCAACATAGAGAAATGGAGAAAAGTCTGCTTCAACCTGGGCAAGTCTTTGCCATTAAGAAGTTTATAAAGACATAAAAATTTAGAATCAAAAGAAGTAAAAATTGATTATAGAGATAGCTCAGAAAATTCCATACGGTAAGAGGGAGGTGAAAGTTAAGAGTTGGGAGACAGTGGAGATGTCTTTTTCCTTTAAAAAAACCCTATAGATTAAATGTATTTTAAATTATCTACTTAAAATGTAGCAAACCTTTAGCCTAGAAATCACATGAACTTCGTTTTACTGTTATGTCGATAGCTTCATATGTTCTTTAATATTTGACTATTTCTCATACACTGGAAAAAAATTAGGTAATCCCTTAAATCCTAGCAAATTGTAGCTCCATTTGTAACAGAACTTTTAAAAGCTAAAAGTAAATGTAATAAGTTTGTAATTATTGTCTTAATACTTTTAGTAAAATTTTACAAACAATTTTATTAACTAATCTAAATTATACTTTATGTATTTTCTTGTTAAGTTCATAAAGGAACGGCCAATTTAGGTGAACAATGAACATCAAATAACAAAATCCTCTGACACACAGTTATCAGTTATCCCCCACCCCCTAACAAATACCCACCTCCCAGCTCCATAATTCCTAGAGTTTAAAGAGCTCTCCTAAGTCCCAGCACAAATTGCTAATATCTGAAGGGGAAAAGGAAATAACATTTGAGAAATCTCCTATAGGTGTCATCGTTAATAGTGGGAGGTTTAATGGGTTAATATAAAGAAATTTAGTTTTTGAATGTCTCAGCCTTTAATGCTTGGAGAAGTAGGAATCTCAGTGGACTAATTAAAAATTTTAGTGTCTAAAGAGCTTGTTTCAGCAAGGAAGAACAATTAGCACATTAAGTCACTCTTTCTTTTTATACTTTATTTTCCAGTCTGAAGAACTTGATAGTTAAAGTTTAGTCTTGACCCCAGCCATGAACAGATGGAAGTGTGTCCACATTTTGAAATGTTCTTCATTGCACCCAGATTAGAGAATAAGCTCTTGATGTTGAACCTGTCAATTATAAATAAGTAGTCTTGTTCTTTCCTTATGTAGAACTTAGGCTTTGGATTTTAGTCATACCACACAAGTGTATTTTCACTTTTTATTATATTATTTCTTTCATTTGTGGATTCTAGTTAGCAAAATTATAATATTTAAGTCACAGATAAACATGGTAGAAAAAAATATCTTCCCTGTGCTCATTTTTTTACAGTGTCTTTGGAAAGTAGATATTTGGTTTAGAATGTCTGATTTGGGGCTGTGAAAACAGCCACAACTCTGTATTTTACAGATTATGGAAGTATTTGTGAAATTACTGTTTTTCTTAGAATTAGACCTGGATCTAGTTAGTAGGCCACCATTTTGATGCTAAAGACATTTCATAAATATAAATTGTAGGTACATATTTAACAGCTATAAGAGGTTAATTAACCCAGTTTATTGTGCCAGGCAGATTTTACCTTGTTGCTTCTTCCTCTTTTCTTTTCTTTAGTAGTTCATCCAATAACCTTTCTAAAATCTTAGAGTCAATTTCTTGTTTATTCTCTAAATACAGTCTATTAAATAAATATTTTCCTGAAACACAAAGAGAACAATGTTAATTTTGAAGCTCTATTAAATATATTGAGATATATTTTTGGAAATTAACAATGAAAAGATTATTTCTGTCTATATCCAAATATATTTTCCTTTAAGCATTTATTTAAATAGAGCCCAGGTTCTTTAAGAGACCATCTTAAATCCTTTTTAAAAGGTGTATATGGGCATGTCATAAATAACTAAAACATGAAAAGAGGTAGTATAATATATTCTCCCCATGGAAATTCTCTTTTCAAATATATTTCCTTAAGATGCAAAATGACAGAATATTCTTGGCCCCCTCATCAAAGATTAGTTGACCATATATGTGTGAGTTTACTTCTGGGCTCTCTGTTCTGTTCCATTGGACTATGTGTCTGCTTTTCTGGTGGTACCATACTGTTTTGATTACTATAGCTTTATACAAAGTGACAGAATAATTAAAATTTAGTTCTGCTATCTTTATGTACTTAGTATTTCCCATTTAAGGTGAAGAAGGACTAATATATAGTTTTGCCCTCAGCCTCATATATTTTTCATTTAGAAGTTACAATGCTGACTGGGATGGGGTGTTAGATTCTCAGCTCCAAAGAATAATTGTAAGGGCCTGCTGGAACATCAGGTGATCCCACACCATCTGTGGCCACCTACTCAGTGGATGGATGCCTCCTTTTGTGTACCTCTAGGTCATGAAGGGACTACTGGTGTGGTATTTGTACATAGGGAAGGTGGAGTGTTTTTCATTTTATATTTTAACTAAAAATATTATCAGCAATAAAAACTTCACTTTAAATTGACATGATAAATATTTACCAACCATTGTTTTCTGTGTCTGATAAACAGATGACTAAATCGGGTAGAATTCCTTTGTTGACTAAGACCATCCACAGTTCTTTCATAATAGGGTAGTTGTCCAGTATCCATCCTCCATATTTTGGGGCACCATAAAACCTATTCTTGTTTTCTTCAACTACCTGTGAAAAACAGCAAACTGAAATTACCATCATATCTACCCAAGTAAAGGATGCTACCTTGATATATTACTTTTATGGACCTTAATCAAGTATCTTTTGAGTTTTTCTGACTTTCAGAAGGAAATAAAAAGAGTCACTTAATTTTAAAAGAGAAACTTAATTTTAAAGCAATAAAGCTATAAGTTTTAAAAGTTAAGAACAGGAAGCAAAAGCCTTTCTTAAATAAATATAACAATACATGCTTACTATATGTTATTTAGTATTACAGAATCCAAATCCTGATTCAGAAGGTCTAGGGTAAGGCCCAAGAGTTCTGTATTTCTAACATGCTCTCAGGTGACAATGGTCCTTGGTCCACTCTTTGAGTAGCAAGGTCCTAGCCCAGTTTGCCTTTTTTAGTGACAATGCTCTTCACTTCCCTTTTGCTTTTCAGCCTTCAATGTGAAAGGCTTCTACCTGTCACCCAATAATAATAACTTCAACACAAGTATGGAGATTAGATGTGGATCTATGAATATACCAATTCTGAAGGTTTTAAACAAGTTTGTGGGCCATCAGGAAATCACAGAATATTAGAAGTCAAAGGGGAAGAAATCTCAAGAAGACTAGTGTAACCCTCTGGCCTATGCAGAATTTAAGATTACCTGCTTTTTGAATTTCCATCTGAATGAAGAGTATTTTGAAAAAAAGAATTTTAACACTTTGAAATGTTTCACATAATAGAATTGGGGGGAAAAAAGCTATAATGAAGAAGTATAAGTGAAATAAGTTAGAGAAAGACAAATACTACATGATCTCACTTATTTGTGGAATCTAGAAAAACCAAATTCATAGAAACAGAGAACAGATTGGTGATTGCCAGAGACAGGGCTGGAGGTGGGGAAATGGGTGAAGGTGGTCAAAAGGTACAAACATCCAGTTATAAGATAAATAAATCCTAATCATGTAATGTACAGCATGGTGACTATAGTTAATAATATTGTAGTGTATATTTGAAAGTTGCTAAGAGAGTAGATCTTAAAAGTTCTCACCACACACACGCACACACACAAATGTAACTATGTGAGGTGACCATGTTAACTAAACTTATTGTAGTAATCATTTTGCAATATATACAAATATCAAATCATTATGTTGTACATTTTAAACTAATACAATCTTATATGTCAATTATATATCAATAAAAGTGGAAACAATATAAATGGTTAATAAAAAATTTTACTAAGTTTCAAAGATATGAAAATTAAAACAATATCAACATATAATTTATAGTTTCCCTATCTCATTCAATTTTTTTGAAAAAAATTTAATGGCTTCATAGTATTTAGTCAAATGAATAAATCCTAATTTGTTTAATCATCCTCTTCATGTTAAACATTTATATAACTTATAATTTTATTATAACATTGTGATGATATGATGGACATCTGCATATATAAATCTTTGTCTAAGTATATATTTCTTTAGGTTAGATTCCTATAAAAAGTGTTTTTAGGTCAAAAAGAATAAAGGAGTGAACATTTTAAAGGCTTTTTATATACATTGTCATGTTGCTTCCATAATGTCTATAACAATTTTCACTCCTATGTGACTATATCATTACAGCCTCACTAGTATGGATTGCTATAAGTTTTAAAAAAATCTTTGCCAATTTGACAGGTAAGAAATTGTCTCTCTTTTTTTCATATTTTTATTGACACTTGAACATTTTTCAGTTAACCATTTGTATTTCTTCTCTGATGAAATAATCTGTTTACGTCTTTGTCTGTTTTTTACATTGGTATTAGATTTTCCTTGATTTGTAAGAAATCTTTATAATGAGGAATCAATGTCTCATATTTATTATATATACTTTCCCCAGTCTGATGTTTGCTTTAAAATTTTGATTTTCATGGTGTATTTTTTAAGGAAAGGGAATCATTGTTAAGTAGCATCTTCATTGAGATTTTGCTCTAAGAGTTCTTCCATGGCATTTGTGCCTAGAGTACTTGACCATTCTAAGATCATTTCAATATCACTACACTTTCTTCTAGGTAAAAACATGCCATTTTTACATTTAACAATTAATATGGAATTAATTTTGATACAAGCTGAGAATCTAAATTGTTTTTTTCCTACCAGTTAATTTTATCAACACTATTAAATAATTATTCCTTTCCTTTTGGGTTGTGATGTAAACCTTAGTATACACTCAGTTTTTATCTATACTGAGGTCTGTTTCTGTGCCTGCTCTGTGGTTCTGTTAGTCCTTGTATGACTATCAGGCTTATAAACCACTGTAACATCACATTTTACTAGTTTGTAGAGCAAGTCTCTCTCTGTTATACTTTGCCAGACTGTTCTTACCAAGTCTCAACTATTGGTTCTCCCAAATAAATTTTAGAGACATTTGTCAGTTTCCAAAATACATTGACATTTTTATTATAATTGCATCAAATCTATAAACTAATTTGAGAAAGATACCCTAATATGATTTTGTCTTTACATGTAAGAAATTAGTAATGACCTACTTTTTAAAAATAGGTTTCCTACTCAGAGATCATGGAAACTGATGACAGGTAGAACAGTGTCCTGCATTGGTCTCTGTTCTCTTGAAAAAGACAATCTGATATGAGCTTTGATGTTAAAATCTCACGTGATTTAAAGTCCCCCACAATCCCAGACTCACAGTTTACCATCTATTGACACTACTCATATTACTACATCAGAAGTGTTTTAGTAGTACTCCCTGTAGATTTGTATCCTCCAGAATAAACTCTGGAAAGAATGGAGCAAATTATCAGTGAAGGGCAAGGATGGGATGTTCACAGTGCTAAAGACATCCCTGACTTGGATATCTCCTCCTTTGGGATGCTCTGTCTCACCTCCCAGGATGAGATAATAGCCTTGACCTTCCTGACATTCCTATACCTTGTACATATCTAGTTACCACTTAGCACATGAGAGTTAATTATTGGATTCTATGTCAGCCTTTCCTACCTGACTGATAACTCCTTAACGGAAAGAGCTATGTTTAATTCATCTTTGTGTCCCCAGGCTCTAGCACAGTAGGTACTCAGAATGTTTCTGAAGAAATAAATTGACGACAGAACAACCTGAAGAGATACAGAAGTTGAAAGATCTCTTTGGGAAGCTCAGAGGGGGATAACAACTTGCCTTGGGTATAGCCTGGGGCCCAAGGATTTCACCCAATGTGTTACAGAGTGGTTCTATACTCTCAGAGAACATTTTTTTTCTTCTCATGATTTTAAATTACATCATTTTCAAATTACAGAGAAATACATAAGTTCATTGAATGACCAAAACTGATTTGTTCTCTTTAACTTTTGCTCTGAACGCTTACCCAAGGGCTCTGTACAAAACAGATCCATATGATCTTCATAAGCCTTCTGATTTGATATGGGTAGGACATAGTACCTGAGGCTTTATTTTCCCCTTAGATTGGAAAATCCGTGGTGTGTCCATCCATCTCCCCCATGAACATGTTCAAGGTGGTTGGATGAAATTAGCTAGCTAGGGAGCAAAATTTGTCTTGGTTTACAAATAACCGACTCATAGATGAAAAAGTAACTTTGGTACTTGCTTCATATAAACTATCTTTTAACCAACTGGACTGAATTAAAGACAATAAAAGTTAATGAAGAATAAACGTCAAAGCTATGAAATTATATTGCACATTTGTTGATAATTATTGAAAATTTATAAGCAACTGTTCACTGGGGTACATTACACATAACAATGTTGACTGTAAAATGCACATGAATTTGAAGGCTACAGATTTCAACACTGTCATACAGGATTCTAAAATAATTGTACATATACTAGGTTAACATTTTCTCAGTTACTGTGAAATCAATGATAAAAATAAAGAGCCTGGATTTCTTACCTCTTGGAGAACTTCGTCTAAGATTTCAGCAATTTTTTCATGTGGCTGTTCAAAGTTCATGTCCTTTGCCATTTTTACCGTCTCCTTTATTATGGAAAGAACTTCTGGATGATCTGCAGTTACCTCCTCTATCACATATTCTATTACATCTAAAGTAAAATAAATCAATAAATTAATGCCATTAATAATTTTAGTAAACAATGCTATTTGCAATAGAACATGATTGTAAATACCTAACCCAAGGAATTACTCTTCGTGTTCCTGCAGCACATGCCCGAAAAAGGGAGAAATAGACTGGATGGGAAATAAGTCAGGAATCACAAAATAACAGAGCAGTGGCTTAAAGCCAGTGCATCAGAATGAAAGTGAATGAGGCATGAAAAAAGTCATGTCAGGCAGGAGTCAAAACTCAGGAAGTCAGGGATAAGACGTAGGAAACAAAGGCTTCCAGGGGTCAGGCTAAAACTTGGGCATCTAGGGAATGAGTCAGAAAACAAAATAAATACTTCCAATTATAAGCATGAAACTAAATGGGACAATAAGAGGATGGGAGGTAGGCAAGTTGGAGGGGATGGAAGAAAGGGTGGCATAGGCTGGTTTTTGAAGTGTTAGACTTGATTCTTGTCTCATTGTGTGCTGAATGTTTCCTTACACGACTAAGCTGGCTCACAGGCTGCACCATGATGTAAACATTCATCCACTCCTCTAATGGGACATAAGATTGGCAGCTCCACCTGACTCCTCTACCTCTGCCTTTCCAATAGTGCCTCCTGAGCTGCCCCAAGGCTCTATCCATCAGGGTCTCCTGCCAGGGCCCAATTGATCCTTGCCCAGAAAAACCCCAAGGACCTTTGAACAGCAGCTGCCTGCTGCTCTCCCTGTTGTGAAGTGAGAAGTCTGTTCTCAGGGATAGAGAGAGCCAGCAGTTTCTGGAGAGCCAGAGTGGAAGAGGCAAGAACCCAAGATCTTCCAATAGCCAGGGAAAG